AAGTTCACAAAAAACATAAAGCACATTGGAAGAGATGCGTTAAAGAAACAGAGCATGTATTTATGAGTAATGTTGTCATGGTTACCGATGCCGTATTTGGAGCGGTAGTAGTCTTTGGTGAAGTCGTCACAGTCGGCGATGAGGACTCTCCTACCAAACACATTCACCTCCCCACCAACAGTCAGATCACAGTCCTTATAGAACTCCTCATGCACAGCTCCGGGCTGACAGAGAGAGGAGGAAGAGGAGGAGGAAGAGGAGGAAGAGGAGGATGACATTAGTGAAGGACGTGTCCATGTGTCAAAATGGTGTCCAGGTTCAGATTCACCTCATGCACTGTACGGCCAAAAGTATGTGGACACCTAAGCATTATATGCCTAGTTACATGTTGTTTTCCTCACTGTAGTCGAGGGTTAAGGGAGCGGATGTTGCATCTTGTTATAATCAATGAGTTAAATTGTGATTTGTGAATATGGGCTTTACAAATTAAATTTGATTGAGCTATTGATTGAGATCAGGTTTAATTTTCAGTTTCGTGTGACTGTTGTCATGAACTTTGTGACCCACTTTGATGCTGTCCAGGATGTAGCGTTTTCCTTGACTCTTGGAGTCAAAGACATTGAGCATTGTTCGGTCCGTGGACTGTCCAGGCAGCTTCAACTGGGCCGGACCATTCTACACAGGGAGAGGTAACAAACACCCACAACACAGGCAGGTGAAGGAACAAACCGTTACACAAAATGATTATATGACATTAAGATTTTCACAGACCGTTCCATATGACAACACAGATGTGGACTGGATATATATAGAGGGGGGGGGGGGGGTGTAGAAACAATAAGAAGACAGTGTAAAGAAGTGATGTGCCATTAACGCTGTGTGATTTCCTGTCGGATGGTGGATTCTGGTTAACCTTTAGGGCTGACATTTAATGAAAGGCATCAGAACAAACTAAATTACTGGACTGAAAACAAACACACACACACACACACACACACACACACACACGATTGAGGCCTGGCTGTCTTTCAACATGAATTAGGCTTCAGTCAGTAACTGGAGGAGAAAGCCAAAATGCTTGAGGGAGAGTGGAGGCTGCAGCCGTCCTGTCAGAGTGAATGAAGTCTCAGTGAGGAGAGATGAAAAGAAACCAGCCAACCAGAAAGAGAGGCAAAGCAAGGTTTGGAATAATCCTCATCTATACATTTAAAACATTAAAACTGTGAAGCACATCCTGCTTCTTTCCTTCCTGAAGTCAAATAGCAAACGGTTTGATCTGCTCCCGTCGTGGTGCCTCACCTTCGGCAGCTTGCAGCGGCGCAGGAATTTGGACGTGGCATCTCTGCCAGAGTTCGGGGCAGCAACCGCCCGGATCTCTATGGTGTCGTCAGCCAGGAAGTAGTGCAGTGTGAACTCCTGTGGGTCCCCGAACACGCTCTCTGTGTCGTCCCAGACGCAGTAGAAGCGCAGGACTTGGCCGTCGTGGTCCAGGAACTGCTTCAGTGTGTCACGCCTCTCGTACGGCCGGAGTGGATTCATATTCTTCTGGATCTTGACCAGTAAAAGAGAAGAAATCAATATTAATATCAATATTATCACATATAGGACGATTTAAATGTCTCATTTTGGGAAATTATTTTCTTCAAGGGTTTGTGTCAGTGCGTTTTCTTCAGCACCAGAGTCACTAACATGGATTTTATATACATATAAATATTAATCTCTTGATTGACTGTATACCTGTTCCCGTAGTTTGCTGTAGGGGTCATCGGGCACAGTCGCAGGCTCATTCAGGATCACCCCAAGTTTTGTTAGAAAGTTCCTGGTGAAAGAGTCACAGCTGGTCACAGTGAACGTGCGTGAGTAGAGCACCATCTGTTGGTTGAGGTTGAAGTGGAAAACGTTGTAGAACTGCTCGTCGTCTGGAGGAGGCAGTGGGATACGGTGACGGCGAATAAGAGTTCCTGCAACGAAGAACACGAGAGATAAATGACAGGAACTGAGCTGCGTATCGTTCAGCGTATTAACTAAGTGCATCGTCTGTTCAGTTTGGGTGACGTGGCCGGCTGACGTCACAAACAGACAGATAATAGTTTCTCACCTTGAAGCAGGGCGCTGTTCTTTAAGTGTGGCTCCACAACCTGTATGGTGTCGTCCTCCAGGTAGAAGTAGATTTTACACTTTCTGATTCTCGTCATCTCTTCCTGCGGCCCGTGTGCAGCCTCTTCACAGAAAGCTTCAAAACACAAAACCTGGGGACACAAAGCGGCATAACGCAAAAGAGAAAAAAGTCAAATGATCGATTTTTGAATATTGGCTGAATATCGCCCTGTAAAGATCTTTGATAACAGCAATATACAAATGTTAGAGCATCGGTAAAATGCTTTGGAATAAAAGTCATCAGTAAAACAATGGATTGGAAGTGTTGTCTTGTCCAGATGAACTTAACTGGAATTCAACTGATCCATTTCAAGACACTTCACCTGTTTGTCAAAGGCCACCCATGATGCTACATCACTGCCTTGTCCTTTGGGGTAGACAGAATATTTTGGTTTGATCTTCTGGCCGACCAACAGCTCTCCTCCGATGCCTGGCTTCTCGGATCCCACCAGCATGGGGACTCCATTTGAATAGTCGAAATGTTGGGACTTGTGGAATCGCTCCTTCCCGAGCTGTAGAACAGGAGAGACCATCTCACAAACTGTAGCGTCACATGAGACTTGAGTGCAGAGGTCAAACTCATAATCGTTCAGCATCTATCTTTACTCTGGACAAACATCTTGACAGCTTCCCAATCGATTACTACAACTATAAAAACTATTAATATTGACTTTGTACCAGTTTCTCTGTTCCTCTGGTTTTTATTTGTGAGTTTTCCACCTTCTTCCTGTCCCACTGCTTCCTGCTGATTGTTACTTCTCTTGTATTTACCTTGTGTTTAGCTGTCTAATCACTTTGTTATAAATGAAGTGTGTGATGATTCATCTGGTGTCATTTCCTCCGTCTTCTCTTCAGTATTTAGGAGGGAAGTGTGTTTACTTTCAACACAAATAAGGAACAAGGATTTTCATCTTCTGGCTAAACTCAGAACTTAAAGTTAAAGAGTTTAATGTGTAAGTAAATCAAAATCAAAAATGCTGCCACTTGTCAAAAGCCACATGGAATCACGTGACATCAGCCTGTACAGAAGTAAGTACCTGTGAGAACTTTTATTAACCAACTTTGAAGGTTTTGTAAAAACTTTATCCGCTGCAGACACATTTCAAGTGTTCAGAGAATCCACTGTGTCCTCTGTCACGTGCTTCCAGCTCAGTTACCTGGTTCCTATCTGGGGTGTTAGCTCGACTGCTAGCTTAGCTTAGCTTGCTCTGGACCGAGGCTAAAGCTTCTGTAACGACAACTTACGTTTCTGTTGGTTGAGCTTCCAGGTAGAAAAGGTAAAGACATGACGCTGCCGCAGGTTATTCCTATTATGTATATTTATATACTTATATATCTTCAGGACAGTGTTGAAGTTTAGTGACGCTGCTCCTCTTCCTCCGCTGTGACGCTGGTTGCCATGGAAGCGTTTCGTTTGGGGGCGTCGCTTAGCAACGCGAGTAAAGGATGTGAGTGTGTTTTATATCCACAGACTGTAAATACAAAAGATATATATATATATATATACTAATATATAACTAATGACAAGTACACACACACGTATATGACATGTACTCTAAGTCTCATAATACACCATGATACCTGAAAACATCACATAAGAACAGATTGTATATTATACGACCTATAACGCAGCCATGGTTTAATAATAATAACTTTATCTGTGTAGCACTAAATCTAAACAAGTTGATAAAGTGCTTCACAAAGAAACATGGCAAAGAATGAATGCGTTACATTAACGCTCAGCTATATACTTGCACATTGGAAATACTCTGCATACTGTGAATACTTGCTCATTGTACTTACTCAGCTTAACTGCTCTTCTTATTTTAGTTTTTTTTTACCTCCAAAAACATACTGTGCATATACTTTTATATTTATATTGTTAAATTTTAATACTTGATTTTCTTATCTTCTTATATTTAGAGATGTCTGACATGCACCAACAACACCAAAACAAATTCCATGTATGTGTATAAAACTTACTTGGCAATAAAAGCTTTTCTGATTCTGAATGATTGTTGCATTACATATATATATATATATACTTTCATAAAATAAATGGTGAAACAGTTAAAATGACAGTTTCATGTTTTATTTTTTAATGTGTGCCAACATACACAGGAGACAACCCGCAGCCTTCGATACAGAAAACACATTTATGGCTAAAAACAAAATACATTAAAAAAATAAGAGACGCAGGGGAGGCATTACAATCCCCACAATCTATCAGCACTTAGAATGAAGTTCAGGTTTTTAGGCTGAAGACGACTGATTATGAAAGGATTTAAAAATATAACACCGTTGCATTGATATATTCTTAAGGGCACCATCTGCCATTGTACTTGATAAGAGCATTACTGTGCAGTCTTACTGCTGGTGAAACGTCATGTTGGTAACAATAAATAAATAACATTTTTTAAAATTCATTTTGCATATTTCTCATTATTTGGCCTGGAGACTGGAGTATTTTACGATTGGGACACGTCTGCTTCCCCATCGATTTGTCACGTGAAGGGAAGTATTAGAGTAGATGATAATAATGTGCAGCTTATGTAGAAACACAGCTACAAGCTAAATCTGACAGAGGTTGCTTGCTATGAAAACACTCAAACCCATCCAGCAATGATTTATACTTTTTCCCAACAGTCCATCATGACGTCAAAGATATGGAGATGATTTTTTGTTTTTGTTTTTTGCAGGGCCTAAGACGCCATGCCGAGCAGGAACCCTCCAATGAAACCACTGGTGACGACGATGTTTTTCTTCACAAACTCTGTGGACTGAAGAAAAGACAACATTTCAGGTTAATGCCAAATCTATAATTCAAATGTATGTATTTCCTGATTCTCCAAACACGTAAAAGCTTTCAAGGTGACAGTACATGGTTGCATTGTTTGATGGTTCAGATGAATTCAAGTTGAGTTAAAACTTCAAGGTGAACAGGAAATAAGTACTGTGTGGCTTAAAGTCCTGCGTCTTTGCATTTCTCATAATTTGTCTTAAAACTGTTAAAAGAAAGAAAACGAAGTCGTCTCACCTTGTCTACAAATGTGTTCAGCTCTGGACCTGCTTGATTGGTGCCCTTCTTTAGCTGTTTCTTAGCTTTGTTCACATCCTTCTCTACTCTCTTCCAGTCCACTTGGATATATCCAGTGTTGTTAGCTATCTGGAGAAAGAGTCAGAGAATAGTTAACATGGTAAAATTCACAAAGATGATTTTCCTTCTGTTGAATGGTTTGAATCTTATTTTCTTTTATTCTGGGGATTCAAGTATACCTGCAGCAGCAGAAGACCTCCACCTACAGCTGTAGCCGCAACTTTTCCAACTTTCTGGAAGAGATATCCTGCACACCTGAATTAAAGAGGAGACTGTGCATGAGGGTCAATCCAACATAAATAATGACTTCAAATGAGATGATTAGCATAACAATGTTTAGCTTGATGAGCCTCGTCCTAACGTGGCTTTTACTGGACATTTGTGTTTTTATACATCTGTTATTTGAATATCTGTTAGAGACTGCAGATAAAAACTGGGCTGTGCAGCTCAATGTGGCACAGTTTACATGTTGAACTCAAGTACACAGAATCAATGAGCATTATACCTTGACCAGAATAAACAGTAAACAGAGTGGTAGGGTGAATGATAGACACCTGAAGGCAGCACAATGCATTTCAGTGCATGATATTTACCATCCACTCACTCCACCGATGGCGATCTGCGTGGCCACGGAGTATTTCTCTGCCAGAGGCCCGGAGTTCTTTCCGAAGAGGCGGTTCCACCATCTCTGTTTCTTGGCGTATTCCGTCAGATCCACGACTTTGTCGTAAATCTCCTCCTCCACTGTTTCGAACCAGGACACAAGAAAAAACCATCAGAAAACAATAGAACCTGTGCGACACCCTGAAGCACAGACTGTCCGCGAACGCAACATAATCACACCAGGTGTATTCATCATCCACAGATTTCAAACGTTTTATTTATATCATTAGTATTAATGCTTGATTATTGATTCTTGATTATTGATTCTTGATCACCAGCACCAGTCGGAGTAAGTTAACATTAGCTTCCATCGCAGAATGATAACACTCTGTTCACCTGGCTCAATGTTTCTGTAAGTTCTTGTTAGCTTCCATTTCAAAGGCAGCTAACGACAACTTCTAGAAACAGTAACAGTATTGATTGTTGATAACTGTCTGCTTCTTGGAGCTGTCGTTAGCTTCCGATTCAGAAGCGGCTAACGACAGCTTCACTGAAACCGAAACTTACTGAAGTTCTGAGGCCCAGCAAGAAGTTAGCATGGAGATACAAGCTAAGCTAAAGTGGAAAAGTTAGCAACGCACGCCACGTCCGGAGAGTTTGAATGATCGGCACGTGTCAGATAGTAAACAACAGACAGGCTGATGTTCGGCTGATGTTCAGAGAACACACTGAGTTCAGCAGAGACACAGGAAGCACCAGAGTTCAGGCCTTCAGCTACCGATGCTACCGATGCTAATGATGATGCTTACCCTTGTCACGAGTCGCCATTTTGGGGAGAGAGCTGCTCTGTCCTCAGCTGCCTTCATGTGCGTCACTTACATAATCATGACGAGAGGGACCGAGAGCAACACGCTTCAATAATCATCATCATCACAATTCACACTTTATTTACAATAACACACTGTAATAAACACTCTACTAGTATTA